TTGTGTGGAATGGTGAAGAGTAGCTGAATCACTTATAACACTTCTTCATATACTAGAATGCTTTTAAAAAGCTTGATAGATTTCAAGACCTCTTCCTACACAGATGAGCAAGGAACAGCTGGTTTGGTGTAGTGGTTAGGAGAACCGGGTTTCATTCCCCACTTTTCCACATGCAGCTGCTGGTGTGACCTTGGGTCAGTTACAAGTTCTTTCAGAGCTGTTCTCTCAAGAGCAGTTCTTGAAAGAGCTCTCTTAGCCCGTCCTACCTTACAGGGTGTCTGTTGTGGGGAGAGAAAGGGAAAGGAGATTGTAAGCCACTCTGAGAATCCTCTGAGTAGTGAAGGGCGGAGTATAAATCCAATCTCTTCTCTTCTTCTCTTAAGAATTTATTTATTTATTTATTATTTTTATAGCCCGCCCTCCCCGCGAACGGGCTCAGGGCGGCTCACAAATGGGGCACATGCCAACACACAAAACAGCTTAAAACAGCTTAAAACAATCATTATAATATTACAAAACTATAAAGTGCTCTAGATGTTTCAGATCAGTTTTCAATAAAAAGATGGCATCATAAAAATGGTACTCCCAGATCAGTGGTGTCCACGCAGCTCTGTCGTTCACTCCTCTCAGGGCCAGTTGATGATGATGGTAAAAGTCATGAAAGTAAAGTAGCAGTAAGATAGTGGAGGCTCCTATTGAAAAGCCTGGCAGAAGAGTTCCATCTTACAGGCCCTGCAGAACTGCGCAAGGTCCTGCAGGGCCTGGATCTCCTCTGGGAGCTCATTCCACCAGGTAGGAGCCGCCACCGAAAAGGCCCTGGCCCTGGTTGCGGCCAGCCTGGCCTCCTTGGGGCTTGGAGTCACCAGGAGATGTTGCGTCCCCGACTGTAGTGCCCATGGGGAACATATGGGGAAAGGCGGTCCCTTAGGTATGTCGGACCCTGGCCATATAGGGCTTTAAAGGTAAGAACCAGCACTTTGAAGCGAATCCAGTACGCTATTGGCAGCCAGTGCAGCGCTTTCAGCACAGGCTGGATATGGTCTCGACTAGGGAGGCACATCAGCAGCCTAGCTGCAGCATTCTGCAGTAGCTGCAGCTTCCGGATTTGGTCAGGTTTATTTTTCAGTGTTTTGCAATGGTTAATTTTAAATGGAAAAAGGCTCAATTTACTACTTTCTCCTGTTCTGGTATACTTGGTATCTATGAGGAGTAGTCTAACTAGGACAGAATTTAACACAGAGGATGAAGATTATTTCAACATTGTCCATTCTGCAACTTTCTTCTACAAGTTAAAGCTTATTTCAAAGAACATTTTTGTGGTTATTTGTCTGGCACAATAGAAAAACAGATTTATGGACACAACACAAGATTCTGTTTCCAAAAAATTGAAGGGACAAATATAAAATCAGTATGCAAACTGTAATAGAGTAATGGTAACATGCCTAAAACAGCTACATACTGTAGATTTAGTGTTGTACAAATTGGTCTATTTAAGTTTTATTTTCTGGCAGCAGTTTGTGCCAGGAAGAACCATTTGGGAAGCCAATAGCTCTCAAGTTCCATCATGCATCACAGTGACAGTTTAAATACATTCTTTGGTGATCTGTACCATCCTTGTACTTTATCACAGCCTACCATTTACCTTCAGTCCAACTGGACTTTTTATTTTATTTTTTCTTCTGAAATAACCAAGAATAGTTTATATACATAAATGTTAAACATTTTAAATGATAAATAGAAATCCTTGTTCTCAGAATAACTCCCGGACTCTAGAATCCAATGCACAAGGTCTCTTTCCATTCTACAACATTTATTTCCACTGTATCAGATACATATCTTATTCTCGTCAATCTGTCAAGCATAGTTGAATAGTCAGTCTAGAAATTAACTAAATACAAATGTTTGCAATTACTGATCAATACTTGAGTCTCCTGATCAATGCACAATAGCAATAACTCATGGATATTTAAATATACTTCTACATGTTGCTTATTGCTTAAATTTTGCTTTGCTATTTAATTTAATAAAAAAATTTCAGCGGAATCTCACACTGCAAAATTCACCAAGTCAGAGGGACGTTCCTTTCTTGATAATCCATGTCAGTTAATATCTTTTTATAAGCACAGACCATATGTTCTAATCTGTTTTTTCTAGGTTTATTATGCCATTGTTTTACTGATATTTACCTTTCCTGTAATTAGATACCAACAAACACTAAGAACATGCATACCAGATTCAAGTATTGCTTTCTATGCTTTCGTAACAAAAATGGTGCTGTCATACTAATGTTCAATGTTTCAGCAAACTGCATTTCTAATACCAAATCTAAATATCTGAGACATTTGGGAGGAGGCAGTAGCTTAGTGGTACTTTGCATGCAGAAGGCCTCATATTCAACCTCAGGCAACTCTGGTGAAAATGGTCAGATAGTGGGAGACCTCTGCCTGAGACGCTGGGTAGCTGCTGCCAGTGAGAGCAGAACATACTGAGGTGGTCTGACTCACTATAAGGTTGTTTCAACTGTTCATCTGGGGGTGCAGTTCATATACTACAGAGTAGTCTTAATAATGTGTTTGGATTTCCTAACAGAGTCTGAGACCACATTTTCCTAAAAATACCCACAGGACAGTGCTGAAGTGCTGCTCGCAGGGAGGGCGAGGCATAAATTGAAGTAATAAATAAATAAATGAAGTGGATGTACCTATAACTTACTGCAGAGACCTGCTCCCAACCACATATTATCTTAGTAATGCCTTACTTAACAGAACATTGTGTCCCACCTTCTCTTTTCCCTCCCTCTCACAAAGCAACAACAAAGTAATTCCTTCCCCACATGCAATCCAACACTGCAGGAGAATTGTGTGACTGATATAACCATATTGGGCAAGGTTGACTATATCTTTTCCCAGTCCATCTGCACTCTTCCAATGGAGAGCCAGTCAGAAGGCAAAGATCCATAAAAATGGTTCTGCAGATTTACTTCTAATAGTCAAGGTACTCCCCAGAATCACATCCTAGGCACTAGTGTCTCCTCCGTTTGTGTGCAAAGGAGGCCTGAGTGTTTAAGACAGGTTCTTCAGTTCAGTATTTAATTGTACCTTCCAGAATATGGGCTAAAACAGATGTACAATAGATGGCATCACTAATACTGGTTCTGGGTTGTGATTCTCCAAGCAGACCGCAATATTCTATTTGCATTTAATCTCTCTAACATGTCACTTCTTTTACATTGCTCCTGTTCTGGTTTTTTTAATACTAGATTTGTCTCTTTTTCTTTGGGACAAACAGGGGCAAGATCTCCCAATACAGACAATTTTATATAGTGTTTGTTTATATAGCACTTTATGTAGTGCTTGTTTACTCTTCTAGGCATTGTTCTGCCTCTGTATCAAGCATGGCCACCTCTACAGTGCAGAAATCAAGGTCCACTGTCACTGGATTCAAATCAGTGTAGTGTACTGGTTAGAGTGCCAAAAAAGCTCACTAGGTGACCTTGGATCAGTTATGCACTCTCAATCTCACCTACCTTACAGAACTGTTGGAATAAAATTAAAGGAAGGAATAACCACATATGTTGCCCTCTCTCTTTGAATAATGTAAGGCAAGAAAAACCCTCCAGAATGTTCAATTTGTGGGATTATCATCTTTTAAAAAATTAACTATTACTGAGGTCCTGTTTTCAAAGTTCTGAACTGTTCCTATTATCCTCCCTAAACTGCAATTGTCTTGTACTTATAAAACTTCAACCCATTTTAGATTTTCATTCTGTAAAGCGCCCGTTCATTTAGATGTCTACATCCATTCTTAATGATGAGGACTTTTCTGTTTAAAAATAGCATGTGTCAATTCCTCCTTTTAAAAGTGTATCCTCCAGGGTTTTTTGTGACAATGGTCACAGCGACACTCTCTGGTCCTACCAGAGAACAACATTTTAGGTCAACCCTCCAGCAACTACAGCAACTTCAATACATTCTAATTCAGAAGTTGAAACCAACATATTTTCTTAGATTTTCCTTACTACCTAAAGCAGAAAATATATCCACCCAAGGATAACTTAAATTCCTAACAAAACAAATGATATCACAAAGCAATCCTTTGTGTTTTATAAATGGAAAATAGTTATAAATGCAAAACATCTTCCCCACCTATGATATTCAAAATGCATACATAAATCAGTAATTTTCCACTTTAAAATGCTGATGGGCATCTGATACGGTCACCTGCAAAAAGACATTTCAAATAAACCAACTATATATATATATAGCTCTAAAATGTGTTCTTAAATCTCATTCAAAATGAAATCATACAGCAAGAGATATTTTGTTTATTAAAAAATATTAAAGTCTTTTTCTGGAGCTCATATTATAATTATTTTCCTTTTTACTGAACAAAACTAGAAGTTCTCATAAAATCTTAATATGAAACAGCTCTCTTAATTTACAGACTGTTAAGTCTGTGTATACATCAATGCCCATCATTGTTGTTTTTTAAAAAGAGCTTCTAATAAGGAGAAAACACATAAATCTTTTGACTCCAATTTCTATATAATTCCAGAATACAATGTTTGTAGCACTTCTTTTTAACCATTTTTCTTATTGCTATGATCTTAGTTTCAAAGTTTAACCAGGCACAATCACCCAAAAATAAAAACCAATTTCAGCCAGTACAATGAGTCTGTTGATTATTCAGGACTCCCCAGGCCTGGCAAAACAAGCCATCTGCCATCAGCTTTCCTGCTGTTTTTTTTTAATTAGAGGCCTATCAATCAAAAGAAGGGCTAGAACGGGAGAGGGGGGGGGGAAGAAAGAGGAACCCTGACGCTTGAGAGAAGGCTTGCTGAGCAAATGGACTGTCTTGCATCATGAGCCCAGAGGAATAGTGTCTGCCAACACATTAATGCAAAAAGTTCAGTCAAACGCATTTGCCAGCAAGTTCAGGAATTATTCAGGCGGACTCGGTTGACCCTGCCCAGTGAGCGAGGAAGGACAGATGTCGTGTACCTTGGAAGAAGAAAGCTTTGCTCCCGTTGTGCAGTCCTTGCACTTGCAAGACTCCAGCCACAGAGTCTCCCAGCTGTAACTCGGTCAGCACGTCGATCTGCACAGAGGGGTCTACGCCGAAGCCTAGAACTTGAGCCAGAAAAGAGGAATTACTCCCCAGGCCACCAACCTGGACTCCCACCCTCCCCTTTTCCTCCTCCTCCTCATCTTCCCAGTGAACAGCGCAGGTACCGCCAGCCAGTATTATTTCCATGACCTACTTTAGCACAATCCATTCTTAAAGTTCAGGTGTGTTTCCCACCCTTCCCGTCACCAAATTCCCCACCTGGGAAATACGCCTCAGGAGAGATGCGCCGGCTCCTTCCATCCCCAAAGCTGCCCCTGGAAACGAAGATCGATCGCAGGGAGGGCTTTTCTTTCCAGGTCTTCGGTCTGCATTTGGCCGGGGGGGGGGCGTTCTTTCTTGGCGATCCCGCACTTACCTGAAGCCAGACTGAAGAGTAAGCACAAGGCGCTTAAGCAGACCCGGGGCTCCATAGCGCAAGACGAGATGGGCGATCAGTCCATAATCTTCATCTGGGGGATATGAATAGCGATTCGAATCCGGGATGGGAGAGAAAGCGTCCTCGAAACCCCCCCGTCGGATCCTCTCGGCCTCAGCAGCACGCCGGGCTCCAGCAGGCGAGGGGGCGAGTGGGACTCGCCGAAGCCCGCAGCATCCTCCGTGAGGGCTCAGCGAACAGCAGCCCGAAGCGAGCGAGCGAGCGAGCTGTGCCGGGAAACCGCCCGGAATGGCGCCAAGAGGAAGGCAACGCGCGCGGGGCGGGGGAGCCGGCAGCTCCTCGGCCCGAACCTGTTGGCAGCAGGCGGAGACAATGGAGGGAGGGCGAGAGCCGCAACTGCTTCTGCGAGGAAGGAAGAGGGGCGCGCCAGTCCTTGGCTGGCTCCCCCTCCGGGCTCCGTCTCCAAGCCTAGCCGCCGTTACCAGGAGCGGCACCAGCAGCTGGAGCTCGAGGCTGCCTGGCTGCTCCTCACCACCACCACCAGCAGCAGCATCAAAAGAGGCAGCAGGGAAGTCGACGGCTCTGAGGCGGGGGCGGGCGGGGGCCAATGATGACAGGCCGGTGGGCGGGAGGGAGGCTCCTTCGGCAGGCAAGGCGCCCGCCCTCCTCTAGCGGCGCGCGTGCCTCGAGGCGGCTCCTCCAGCCGGGAGCGCAACAAGAGACCGACGACTTGCGCGGGGCCTCCCCTCGCGGCGTTACTTTCTGCGCCGACGGGAGCCCTGCCCAGAAAGTCGGCAGGCGCGCGCTCACACCTCGGGCCCTCGCCTGCCTCCGCCCAAGTGCGCGGGAACTAGTGGCCGCCGGTGGGGTTGGGGCCAGAGGCACCGGGTGTTCTGTTCATAGGGTCTTGACCCCTGGCGAATCCCGCCCCGAGACAAGAGAGCGGCTCAGCCGGTCGTGACCGAGGGAGCGAGCGCGCGCCCGGATCCTCGTCTATTCTCAGGAAGATCTCGCCGGGGATTAGCTTCCCTTCGAGCCTGCCAAGTAAACAAGTACCTCAGAGCCCGCCCGGGATGGCCGCACGCTCGGTGGAATTCACGCCGGCATGTTCGTCACGTGCGGCTCTGAATGTCAAGATTTCCACCGCTGAAAACCTGATCTGTGTCATGCACACGTTTGTCCGCCAGTCGTCAAAAGGCAAGCTTTCCCCCTTTCTTTTCTTTTTTAATGCATGGGGAAGTGCCACGGCGGTCTTTCGCGCGTTCGAGGTCCACCACGTGCCTCGCTGGCACTCCGAGGTCAGTACAGAGCATGGGGTAAGTCTCTGTCTCCTTTCTCCGATCTCGCCGGCCTCCAGAGAACGCCCGGAAGCGGGTCCGACTAGTCAGGGGAAGAGACAATCGCGTGGAGGACCCATGGCCAACAAATCTGGGACGATGAGAAAAGCGACGTCGGGGTTAAAATGCTGGGTCGAGCTGTGGCATTTCTTGTGAAAACTCCAGCGCGGGCAGAACTAATCGATGCCTTGCCTTGTGCTTTCCACTTGCGAGGAAAGAGGGGCGTGGGACGCCTTTCCTTGTGTCGGGGGAGTCCCAAATCCCAAAGCTGAGGAAACCTCAGGGGAACAGGACCTTTGCCGTGCTGCCCGCCGTGGGGAAGAAGAGAAGCCACCAAAGCGCCCCTTCCTCGCCCACAGCTCAGCAGGGCGCGGGGACTGGGGGACGCCCTTGGAATTTTCGCGCCCAAGTAGGGGAGTTCTGCAACCGCCTCCTGACTCTCAACGCTGGGCCGGGGAGGGGAGAGCGCACGAAGGATGGAAGGTCGACGGTCTGATTTACCAGGGGGAGAGATGGACTGTGCCACTGCCGACTGCAGGTAGTTTCAAATGCAGAGAGCGTCTCCTTCTTCTTACTTGTTGTGGTGGAACTTTCTGACATAGGGGAGTCTTCCAACATATCATGCTCCTCTTGCAGCTTGAAGTTGTATGGCCCGTTCTGCCGCCTCAGTCCTTTACCACTTCCTTTTCTTGCCTGGGGAAATCAAGCCACAGGTATTCCACTGAGCAAAGGCAAGCCTTGGGCACATCCCAGCTCACCGAACCTTCCTGCTTCCCTCCCTGCCTCATGCTAGACTAAATGGTGGAAGAGGAAAGAATAACTTTGCTGCTGCTCTGTGTCTGAGGAAGCATGCGTGGGCAGGAAAGCTTATACCTTGAATAAAACTTTGTTGGTCTTAAAGGTGCCACTGGACTCAAACTTCGTTCTGCTGCTGCTGCTGCTGCTTGTCCTCCTCAAAGGGACAAAAGCTTTGAATAGGCCCTGCACAAAGATGCCCCCTTGGCAATGCCTTTGATTGTGGAACACCCACTCAACAATTCCTTAAGGGAGATAGTTCAAAGGATATGATGCTTCTTGCAGAAGACCTTCAAGGGCTCATCTCCCAACAGAGAAAGGAACCCTTTTAAGGCTCTGGACTGCAGCTGAATGCTGGATTAATGTGGGCCAGATTGTGTGAGGAAGGTACTCACATGCTCTTTTGCAGTCGAAGCATAGGACATCTATATAATGGGTCTACACTCAAATCCTTGATCAAACACTAGAGAAATGGTACAACTGTGATTAAATATTAAGGTATCATTTAAAGATGTTCATCAAAATCAGAAGCATGAAGTAATGTGAATTTGGTTCTGGAATGGAAAAGGTCAGCAGTCGGATACACCATGGAGAGAAAAGTGTTTCTGAAAAGTTGCAGAAGGGCTTTACTAGGAAATAGCCAAAAATGTTGTATTAATGAGGAGGATGGAAGATGGCTCATTTTATGGGAGGTTCTTTAGATAATCAGTTATGACACTATTGTTATTTTTAATTAACTGTCTTTACATTGTTTTTCTACATCTCTGATAAAATTGTGAAGAGTATAAATAAAGTAAGAAGAGAAGAAGAGATTGGATTTATACCCCGCCTTTCACTACCCAAAGGTTTCTCAGAGCAGCTTACAAAGTCCTTTCCCTTCCCCTCCCCACAAAAGACACCCTGTGATGTAGGTGGGGCTGAGAGAGCTCTTATCAGAACTACAGCTTGCCCAAGATCATCCAGCCAGGTGCAAATGGAGGAGTGGGGAATCAAACCCGGTTCTCCCAGATTAGAGTCCGTGCACTTAACCACTACACCAAACTGGCCATTGGAGTTAGAGGATTTATCTTTTGGTCACCAGTGTAGGTGAAGGCAGATATGAGCGCTGGCATTTTGCTCTTTAAATACTTTCCTCAGTGATTAATTTATACACAGCATGGCTGATTTCCCATTTCTTAAAAAAAGTGAAGTGCTTTGCAGAATGAGGTTGTTGAATAACATGTTCCTGGAAATTATTTGTTTTCAGACCTGTCATTTTATCCCACTGCACAAAAGTATTCATTTTTAGTAAATTCTCCTTTAATTTACTGTTGGATTGTTCTACTCTGCCACTTAATTTGCTTCACCTGTTGTGAACCAATGTCATAATATTTAACTAAAAGACAACTATCATTGGAACATATAATTTTCTGTTGGCTGGATTGAAATTAAACATGCATCTAAATATAACAGGGGGGGAAACTGGTTCTGTACAGTCTTAACTTTTAAAGTGACATAGTAATCACTGTAGTGAAATTAACACACATGTTCCGCATCTGCCAGTATTGCTACCACCTGACTTGATAAGGAGGCAGCTGTTAAGTGGGCTATCAAGGGCATAATTATTTTCCCCCTTTTATTGTTTACACAGCATGTTGAATGAAAAGGCAAAGAAACTCCAAAAATCTGAAATGCAGATTCTGTAATAGGAACTACAGAATTCACTCAGTTCCTTATGCCTTTTGGTTTGGAATAAAGCCCTTGAGACAGTTTACAAACTTAAAATAATAGGCAATGCAGCCTCTAAAACAATCAATAGGATGAAACAATACTAAATAACAACAAAATCAAACCAGAAACCCTCAGTATAGAAACTACTTTTTCAAAACAGGGCTTTATTTAAGTTTTATTTATTTATTGTAGTGTCTGAGAGAAAACATGACATTGTGCTCTTCCTTCTGCTGCCAATGGATCGTTCTGACGGTAGGCTTCCAGAGTATTAATATTTTTTATCTGCTGTAAAGATATAATCAGTACATATTCTAATACACAAATTGGGCAACTATTTCATAGGTATTTTCAGTACAAAAATTCAAATAGGCTTGGACATGACTGGATGCTTGATGTCTCTAGACTGTGGAGGCATCTCTAAGGCTGACCATGCTCAATGCTGATGCAATAGCCTTTCCCATTTTAGGTGATGTTTTTCAGATTTTCAAAGGTTTTTTTTCTGTCAAGATGTAGTGTACAAACCAGTGATTCTTTGCAATTCTAGATATTATTAAGACCTCTTATTTTGTAAATAATGACCAGTTTTGCAGACTAAATTCTGATAAAAATCCAGATTTGTTCACTGCATTTGTACCACTGAAAGAAACTATTTATTTACTTCATATTGGTTATCTTGATTTATACCTTACTTTTCACCCTAGTGAGGACCCAAAGTCCCTTACAGCATTCTCTTTTACTCCATTTTATCCATAAATGGTACATTGATTAGTTGTTTGCACCTGTATCTTCTGGACCAAAATTGGAAGACAGACATACAATAGCAACATCGTGTATGTATGCATCTGACTATGACACAAGGCTAGACTCCAGGAGGCTTCATAACAGGCCCATAGCCAGGAATTACTGGGGGGGGGGGTTTACTGGGCACTGTCTAATTCAACTAAATGTAATTAAATTAACTTATGTGGTCCAGCTAGGCTGGGATGCCCAGAGACACTGAGATTAATTAGCTGCCCATTCTCGCCATCCTTCTTCTCCGAGGGTGGCTCACCATACTGCCTGACTTCTCTCATGGGGAAGCAGGCAGTGGCCACCCCCTGGCCGACAGAGACTCAAAGCAGCATGAGTCAACCAGGCCTTGCTTCGGGATGACGGCAAGGGAGGGGCTCTGGAGACACTGACAAGGCATTGC